TACTTCCACAGGGCTCTGTCATTCGAGCCCCTGGCTCCTTTCAGTTGAGGGTGACCCCCACATTTGGGACAGGTTGAGCACAGTTCTGCTCCCCTTCATTCACAATAATGCCAACATTGGTGACAGCATTTCACTACCCCTGCATTCAGTACTAAGGTGATTTGTAACCCAACACCAACCAAAGTTGATCACTTTGAGCAACACACCGATTTGTCTGCTGGATATCTAAGCAGAGTAGGCAGGGGCGCTGGAACAATTCGTACAGTGGGGGTGCTAAGAGCCATTGAACCAAACTGTAAACCCTGTATATGATGGAAACAACTTCAAGCCAGGGGGTGCTGCAGCACCTATGTTCCAGCACCTATGAGAGTAGGTGTATTTATGTAAATACAGTTTGCTCTTGAAGTCTCTCCCCCTCCCAGCTAGCTATCAGGGAAGCATTCAGCAGGCCCTGCTTACAATAATTATGGATAGATCTGTGTATTTCTTGTGAAACATAAGAAAGAATAATAGTGTATTAGAACCTCGTGCAAAGTCTGTGTTTGTTGACTTTCACTGTCACATCTCTCTGAAGAGGTATTCTGTAAACCAGAAGGCTCACACCTTCAGTGGGATTCTGGGGAACATGCTAGAGCTGCCTGGGGGCTTTGTGGAAGACAATACTAGTTTCACCCCATGGAGCCCCCTCTGCCAAGAGGGGGGTCAAACATTAGGTCTGGACCTGGAATGGACCTAGGAACCCAAAGCCAGCACAGTGCCTAAACTGGCTAGCCTCAGCAAGCTAAAGGCATGTGGCATTTAGCTTTTAAGGTCTCAACCCTCAGGTGGTGCAAACGGCATAGCTCCACTAACTTCAAACAACTGAGGCTCTAGCCCAGAAACTCTAGTTCAAATACCGATCTGTACCACACCTACAGCTATCTCCATGATAGAAGTCAGTAAGGAATTGTCCAAATTATAAACTAAAATCTCCTACAAGGAAATAATCCCTAACCTGATACAATCTTGCTCACTCAAGACAATGATATTTCATGAATTGCTCAACCAGAGGAGCTTTCCGTGACCGGGTGTTTGTGCTCTCTGAGGCTTATGCTGCCAAGTACCTGCACGTGACCCAGACACATGTGCAAAAGAATCCTTTGATTATGATTCAAATCAGTTTGGTCAGATGCCAAACATTTAGCAGCCAGCTGAATACTAAGGCCTTGGCTACACTGGCCCTTTACAGCGCTGCAACTTTCTCGCTCAGGGGTGTGAAAAAACACCCCCCTGAGCCCTGCAAGTTACAGTGCTGTAAAGCGCTGGTGTAAACAGTGTCCCAGCGCTAAGCTAATCCCCTCGGGGAGGTGGAGTACCTGCAGCACTGGGAGAGCTCTCTCCCAGTACTGGCGCCGCGACCACACTCACACTTCAAAGTGCTGCCACAGGAGCGCTCCCGCGGCAGCGCTTTGGAGTTTCGAGTGTAGCCAAGCCCTAAGTGAAAAATGTCAACGAGGATTCTGCTTCTCCCTCAATCACCATTATGGTTTGTAGGCTTCTTCTTCACCCATAAAACTGCACGGCGGATCTGAATGATATGTAAATTAATTCAGTACAATTCAAGGTTTTCATATATTGTATATAAAGCCTTTCATAATCTGGGGTTTAAGGACCTCTCCATAAATCACTGCCCAGTAGTTTGTCAATCAGTGGGTGGAGTCCTGGGCCCTAAATCCATGCAGGACCAGGACTAAGCCAGCAGCACAGATTTCTTGCTCTGGGTCCTGCTTGTGGAATTCTCTCCCACAGAAGAGAAGAACCTGGAATCCCTTGCTGGGAGGGTGGGACAATGGGAGCCAACAATCCTGACTCTGTCATTGATGTTGTTGGGGTGGATGGGAGGGAATGTGGTGAGAGAGAATTAGATTTCTTCAGTTTTGCATTTCTTCAATATTTTGCATGTGGACTGAGAATTGTTGCATTTTATTTGGCAAGATAGCTTGCCTGAAAACTACGACATCTGCCCTTTGGTGCTGGCTGGGGATCTGTTTGAGCTGTTTGATTTTTTTTAATTATTATTGTTGTCTTTTGATTTGTGATCTGATTGTGCTGCACTTAGATGATAGGTGCCTTATAAATGTATTAAATAAATAGTATTTTTTTGGAATTAGAACATCTCACCAGCTTAAAAGCTAATATGAAAAGCATCTAAAGACATCAATATTCTGACTCTTATGTTCTAATAGCTATGCAGGCATAGTTTCTGGGCTTTCTTGGCAAAGTACTGGATCAACAGGAGAGCTAGAAAAAACGTCAGAATTGCCTTCTCAGGCTATGTTCCAACATGTTTACTTCAGTGACGCCACCAGGGATCAAGTGTAAAAGTTACTTCATATCTTAAATTATTCCTTTCCTGTCGTGCCGCTGGAGCTTTGGTTATGCTGCTAGTCATCATTTTTTAATTGTGCTCTTCATCAGCTTTGAAAATTCAGGTCACCCGTTCTGCGGCTGTGGCACCAACAATATCTCCTCTTCTATTTTCATTCCAAAAAAGGCAGAGGTTGTGATAGAATTGCTGCCGAAACTCAGTGCTCTGACACCCACCTACATAAGTGCAATGATATCATTGACCTCAGGGGTCAGGGGGATAGAAGTGGTGTGGAGGTATGCACAGATGTGTGACCACTGGCCTGCAGGGCATCTCTAAATGAAAACTGAGAGCCTTTCATTAGGCTCAGTTTTTCTTCACAACAACAAGATGTCACAGCCAGATCAGACATTTAGACTCTTACCTGACAGGCTTATTTGTCAACCTTACTGTCAGGTTGCCCTCCTGTCACTTTCACCTTTTGATAGACTGACTTGTCCCGATCTATGACTATTCTACATCTGCAATTTAGCAATTCACCTGGCGTGCTGAATGGAAACACAAAATTAATATATCCCTGAATATTTCTGGACTAGCTTCAGACTTAATTAAATTCTGCTGATAATAGAGAACGAAGCTCTATTGCATGATTTTTGACATTAATTCATTTCCTCTTTTTTTTTTGGTTCCTTGATAAATGACTTGGGAATGTATTCCATAAGTAACGATTGCCTCATAGGGCCTTTACTGTCACTTGTACAACACAGAAATTACACTGATCAATACAATTCCTATAATTTATTGTTGAGGCAGAGGGGGAGAAGAGGGTTGGTCTGAGTGCCAACCCTTACTGTTTTTTCTAAGAATATAGGAACATAAGAGTTGCCATTTTGGATCAGACCTATATAGGCAATTACAGAATAACCGGTCCATAAGGGAAGTTACTTTCAAACCTACACAGTTAGAGGTTGGTTTATGTCCTTAAGCATGAGACCTTTTTCCTAATATCCAACCTAAACCTCCCCCACTGCAACTTGAGACCATTACTACTTGTTTTGCCATCTGCTACCACTGAGAACAGTCTAGATCCATCCTCTTTGGAACCCCCTTTCAGGTAGTTGAAAGCAGCTATCAAATCCCCCCCCCCCCATTCTTCTCTTCTGCAGACTAAACAATCCCAGTTCCCTCAGCCTCTCCTCATAAGTCATGTGCTCCAGCCCCCTAATCATTTTTGTTGCCCTCCACTGGACTCTTTCCAATTTTTCCACATCCTTCTTGTAGTGTGGGGCCCAAAACTGGACACAGTATTCCATAGACTCATAGAATCATAGAATATCAGGGTTGGAAGGGAGGTCATCTAGTCCAACCCCCTGCTCAAAGCAGGACCTAATCCCAACTAAATCATCCCAGCCAGGGCTTTGTCAAGCCTGACCTTAAAAACCTCTAAGGAAGGAGATTCCATCACCTCCCTAGGTAACCCATTCCAGATGAGGCCTCACCAATGTTGAATAGAGGGGAATGATCACGTCCCTTAATCTGCTGGCAAAACCCCTACTTATACAGCCCAAAATGCCATTAGCGTTCTTGGCAACAAGGGCACACTGTTGACTCATATCCAGCTTCTCATCCACTGTGACCCCTAGGTCCTTTTCTGCAGAACTGCTTCCTAGCCATTCGGTCCCTAGTCTGTAACAGTGAATGGGATTTTTCCGTCCTAAGTGCAGGACTCTGCACTTGTCCTTGTTGAACCTCATCAGGTTTCTTTTGGCCCAATCCTCTAATTTGTCTAGGTCCCTCTGTATCCTATCCCTACCCTCCAGCGTATCTACCACTCCTCCCAGTTTAGCGTCAGCAAACTTGCTGAGAGTGCAGTCCACGCCATCCTCCAGATCATTAATGAAGATATTGAACAAAACCGGCCCCAGGACCGACCCTTGGGGCACTCCGCTTGATACCGGCTGCCAACTAGACATGGAGCCATTGATCACTACCCGTTGAGCCTGATGATCTAGCCAGCTTTCTATAGTGAAACTTAGAACTGTAGAATTGTAGGAAGGGACCTCAAGAGGTCATCTAGTTCAGTCCCCTGAACTCATGGCAGGACTAAGTATTATCTGGACCATCCCTGAGGGAGTATTTGTCTAACCTGCTCTTAAAAATCTCCAATGACGGAGATTCCACAACCTCCCTAGGCAATTTATTCCAGTGCTTAACTACTCTGACAACTAGGAATTTTTTCCTAATGTCCAACCTAAACCACCATGGCTGCAATTTAACCCCATTGCTTCTTGTCCTATCCTCCTTGTAACAACCTTTTACGTCATCTTGCATGATACAGGTATCTGCTCTTGATGCCCAGGGGATAGCTGTAGCAGAGTTCTATTTTTCATTTGTGTTTATGTATTTCTGTCTGATTGCTATAATTAATCATGTGTTTCTCATCTCAAGGCTACAATGTGCTCTACATGGGGCTACATCCTGGGATCACTTGGCGACTGAAGCTGGTGCAGAATGCAGCTGCCTGCTGTTTAAATGAAACTTCACTCAGAGTACATAAAACCAATACCCTCTATAAGTTGCACTAGCTGCCTGGATGGAACTTAAGATGATAGCTTTAACCTATAAAGCTCTAAATGGTTTATGATGCAGCTACCTAAGAGATCATCTTTCTCCCCATACAATACATCCAGAGTTGGGATCCACAGGGGCACTCAGCACGGAGCTCCCTTGTGAGGAATGGAAGGAAGCAGCTGGCAGGGTATTCTCCATCAGGCCTTGACTCAGGAATGTGCTTCCCCTGGATCGTCTGGAGCCCAGATTTGTTGCCATTCCATGCATGCTGAAAAGATCGTCTGTTCTCTCAGATATTTAGGAGGTTGCTTTGACCTTAATCCAGACAGTCACTAATTGGTCAGTATTGGAGATTGTTGAAGGTTTCTAGTTTACTGGTGATTATATTTAACACTGGTTGTGATAGTGTGGATGTGCCCAGACCTATGGATGGCATCTTCTGTATCTAGAAAGAGAAATAAACCAATATACTAAATAAAGGTAGAGTCCCTTTGCACCATGAGCTGAATTCTACAGAGCAGTGAGGGAAAGAAAAAAATATAGCTGATAAATTTTAAATGCCTCTAAAAAATATTTCACCTTAAACCTATCAGTGGTACAGCACAAAATATTAGTACTTTGAGCTTCAAATAAGTGTATTTTTGGAAGGAAATTCCATATTTGTGCAGACAAGAAGGAAATATTGGCATATTACATTCCCCAGGCAATGTTAGATGTACTGCAGTCCCAGAGGTTTCTGGATTATTATACACAGTGTAGGTGTGTTGGGTCAGAGGTTCGTGATACATGTGCAGCATACATATATAACCCACTGGGTAGTGAGTGTTGGAGGCCCACAGCAGTTTGAATCCTGGATGAGTCCCCTTACATTACAGATGCTATCTTGGCTGAAACAACAAAGACTGAACTAGGGACCTCCAGAACGAAAAGCATGAACTACTCTAGTTTAAGCTAAACAGCCACAGAGTGTTAGGTTTGGCTGTAACAGATTCATATCCTCTGTGGATCAGGCACAGAAGGGGACAAGGAAAGCACACTCACATTTGCTTTAAAATAAAAACAGTCCTTTGGTTCTATTTAGCAGCCATTTAAAACATTAAAATAAAATAAACACCCCACACTTACATGTATGCATTTATTTGTTTGGATTTTATAAAACACCCATGGCCAGGCTCCAGGTGCCCCTGTCACCAATTAAAATACACTAGAAAAATCATTACAAAACCAGAACAGCAACACGTTTCTCACTATTCATAACACTGTCAGGCAGCAAAATAGAACAGAAACCAAATTACATGTCTTCCCTGCAACTATAGATTTGCAAAGAAACCCTAATCTTAGTCATTTCAGCCCTGCTCAAAAAGAGAAACTAGGCCACATACCCAAGAGGTGAGGAATCCCGCAATGCAAGGAGCACTCACAGAGCATTCCCTGACTGCATCCACCTCTCTTCTATAGATCAAGAGAGCTCCAGCTTGAGTGCTTCCACTGATCCCAGCCATGGTACTGTGGCCCAGAGGAGGATGGTTCTCTCAGAAAGGGCTCGGTAGGACAACAGTCATAATCTTAAACGTCGCCCAGAAGGCAATGGGCAGCCACTGCAGGTCACAGATCACTGATGACCTGTGCTCACATTGAGGTACTCCACTTCAGATGAGCTTCTATAGTCTTCACTAGCTTCAGCATCTGAACTGTATAGAGCCCACATTACTGTAGCCCAGTCTACAAGTGACAAAGCATGGATTATGGGAGCAAAGAGGATTTTAAAAAGACCGAAGATTTGGTCCCTGATCTTTACCACACCAGAAAGATCATCGACCAGTGCAGGTTCTATGCCCTACCCAGATTCGAACTCCATATGACAAGGGTCAAAGAAGTCAGAGGCATCCAGATAATCTGTGAGTTGTCTCCCCATGACTTTTGGCATATTGTCCAACCAAGATTGGATGTTTTAATACAGGTTAATAGCTGGATAGATTGTCAACATCAAGAGATGGCTTTTTGAGCCCAGGCTGAATGTGTCTTTTAAAGCAGACAGCAACCTGCTCTCCTCAAAGGAGGAAATGACAATCTCTACCAGCAAAGAACTCAGTATTTCCCCACAGGCCTTCACCAGCCAGGAAGGAACAACGATTCAAAGTACAGGTTGCTACACAAATGTCTTCCCAGCACAACCAGAGCCTCTGTAAATGACATTGGTAAATCAAGCATAGACGAACTAGCATTGTCCACTCTCAGTAAGGCCCTACCTTCATAGACGCAGACAGTTTGGTCTGATGCTAGTTGATATTAACTGCAAAGTAAACAGAAGTTTCTTCATATTGGGAAGACTCACATCAGCAACCAAGCAGAAACAATCCAGATTAACCAAGGTAATCATCCCATTTGACACAAATCTGCTCAATCAGATTTCAACCAATACTATGCTGACAGAGGCAAAGGGTTAACAATCTTATCTCAATCCCTTTCCCTTTGATGAAAAACAGTGTGTGCAATGCATCATGTCCCAGGCTCTCTGTCTTCTCTTCCCCATGAGTCTCAAAATTCTACAGGGCATTCATATCCCGCTTAAAAAAGAAAGGTGCTGTGTATTTTTGTCTTGTATTCCTTTAACAAAATTTTAGTGTTACAATTAAATAGGTAGGGCCAGATATTTGGGACTAGGGCTGCTATTTACTTCTATTTGTGTAGTATCTAGCCTAATTTGGGGCCCAACCTGGTGGAAGCCTCCAATGTGTGTTTAACAATGTGTGTTAAACAAGCAACAACAATGTGAAGGGGGAGGAAGAATTATTTTACAGTGCCCCCAAGTATACTAGGCATTTATTGGCCACTGGAGTCACTGTGAGTTTAAACTAAAGTCTCTTAGATCAGAATCTGCCCTGAAATTAATAAGGAATTAAAATAAAATAAGACAGACAAATGCCCCCTAGACAAGCTATAACATATTAGACATGCTCTTTGGGAGGGTTATATACAGGGTTTCTTCTTCACAAATGTGGCTAATGCTTGGATAAAAGCACTTACAGGATAACAGTTCTGTTGGAGCTTAATGCATGCTTTATGCTTTCCAAGTCTGTGTGATGTTCAAACGTTACATATCCACAAAAGTCATATTGAGAACCAGCTCATAATGCAGTGACCTGATTCTGACTGCGCACTACCTCAAGGCTGTTAACAGCCCCATTGCCTCTTGTGCTTGGAATGGTTTGAAACGGTCCGGCGCCTCACCCCTAGAGCGACAGACTTCAGGTCATTACAAAACAGCTTACAGCATCTGTGTTTAATAACAGCCATTTTACATAGTTTAACATGTAAAACAAAAACACAATACAGGAGAGTAAAATAGCATAGGCCAGTATCAATGTCAGCTAGGCTATAATGGGAATTCTCAGTGGGAAAAGTGTTTTGTTTACAGGCATAAAAATGGTTATACAAGCTAATTTTGCTATATTAGTTAAAATAGTTGCATAACATTTATAATCTTAATTAGTAAAAAAATGTCACGATTCAAAATGCAATTATTTTATTAACTCCCGTTGACTTCTGTGGGAACAGAACTAGACCTTTAAAGTAACTTCCAGCAACTAAGAACTATCATATACACTACATATACTCTGTTACACCGTGACATGCAGTTATGAAAAGTCTGCCAGTACAATTGTCCCTGGGCTCATAGACAATGTTTAAAAAGTACACCCGCACACCAAAGAGTGAGTTGGGAAGAGAATCAGGAACCCTAAATCACACTCCCTTGCACTGACCTCTGCATCTCATAAGCATGCTGAAAGGTACTTTTTTTCATACATTGTTTTGTTTACGTCACCAGGGACGCATCCCTATGCTGAGTGCATTGAAAAGACAGGAAAACCTGGCAGGTAATCTAAATGGTTGAGGACTATGCATTATGAAAGCCTGAGATACAAAAGCTAGCATCTGAGGGAACTCTAGTCCCTAATACAACGTTGCACTGCAAGGAAGAGCATGCAGGTGGAGGCAGGGGAAGTGGGTAGGGAGAAAAGAAAGGGAAACCAAAGATATTTTTCACTTCTCCATGCCTTCCAAAAGAAAAGAAATGAATTTCTGTGAAGGATTCAGGCCTCAAAAGTTAGCTTGAAAGATTAGTTTACACAAAACCCCAGCACAAACTCTGGGTCTATTGGGTGCCATTTTCCACCAGGTGCTGAACCCTGCTCAACTCCCAGTCAGCATCTGGGAATGGAGGGCTCTCAGCATTGTTCAGGAAGCACTGGGAATCTCACAGGATTGGGTCAGGCATGGCAAAGCTTCTGCCTCTGTAAGAATCTCTCTCCCCCACTCACTTCTTCCCCTTGCTTCCAAACCACTGCAATGGAAAATCGAAGCTGTCTGCTGTTGGGAGTCTGACATCCCTATCAAGGAAACTAAGTGGTGCCTTTGTAGTCTCTTGATTAGGGTTGGCTTTCAGCACAAGCAGAGCAAGCAGATCTTAGGACTCTGTTGTTCTGATGGCTCAACCTCCCATGCAAACTCTCCTAACTCAGAGTCCAGCCCTACTTCCCTCTCCTACAATGGTAGATAATAATTCATTTCCAGACATTCTTGTCTGACACTAGGACCCGAGAGGAAGGAACCATGTAAATCACAAAGACTGGCTGTTCTGAAGTCTCTGGACAGAGAGAGAAAAAAGGGGGAAGATTTCAGAGGAGGAACCTGTGACGTTGTGCAGTCTCTATGGTTTTATAAAAACATAATAATAAGTGAATATAATGTAACTGGGATAGTTTTATAAAGATTTGATAATAAGTGAATATAATGCAACTGGGATATGCTTCGTGCAAAAGGTCTCTTGTAAGGTATCATTACAAAGCTCATAATCTAGTGAGTGTGATCATCCTATTTGTAGAAATGTACCACTCTAGTATCTAAAACTAGAAATATAAAACATAACTCTGAGGGCCTATTGTAATTATGTAAAGTGTGGGCCATTAATGATGGTTTGGAATCTTGATGACTCCCATTAACCAGGACCATTGTCTGCAGATGGCTGTGTTTACCTATTAGTCTTCCTGTATATGTGTGTGCTGGCAAGTGGGCAATGAAGTCTTGCAGTGACATGTGATCATGTCACCTGAACTGGAATCCATCTTTAACCTGGTGCTTTTCCAGTGTGGGGGGGTGGAAACCCAGAGGGACAAAGGATTCCCGCCTTATGCAAAAGATATATAAAGGGGTGGAAGAGAACAAAGGGAGAGAGGAGCCATCATGAAGAATCCCCTAGCTATCACCTGAGCTGGAACAAGAGCTGTACCAGGGGAAAGAATTGTGCCCAGGCCTGAAAGGTGTCCAGCCTGAGAAAAAACTTACTGAAGCATCTCTGAGGGTGAGATTATCTGTATTCAGTTTGATTAGACATAGATTTGCGCATTTTATTTTATTTTGCTTGGTGACTTACTTTGTTCTGTC